ATTCATCCATCAGTTGATGGAATTTGGATTGTTTATAGTTTTTGGTTATTATAAATAAAGTTACTAAACAGATGTGGTGGTGCATGACTGCAATCCCAGTACTTGGGAGGCTGAGGCAGGATGACTGAGAGTTTGAGGACAGCCTAGTCTACATAATGAGTTCAAGGATAGCCTGAAATACATGGCAGCACCCTGTCTCACAAACAGACAAACATGCTATCAGTGTTTGTGTAAAAGTTTTTCATTTCTTTTGTTAGATGATTAAAAGTAGATTTGCTGGGCCATATGTAATGCTAGTTTTAGACTTTTGAGGAACTGCTAAATTGTTATGCATAATGGGTTTCCCATTTTACATTCTTACAGTGTATGAAGGTCTCAAATTTCTCCATACCTTCAGATGTTATTTCCTGTCTTTCTCATCATAGCTATCCCAATAGCCATGAGTTTTATCTCATTGTAGTTTTGATTTGCATTTCCTTGATGATAAATGATGTCGAGCATCTTTTCATGTGTTTACTGGTCATTTGCATATTTTCTTTTAAAAATGTTCATGCAGAGCTTTTGTCTGTTTTGATATCTGGTTGTCTTTTTTTATTGAATTGTAAGTGTTCTTTATGCATTCTAGGTACAAGACTTGTAGTGTTTCCCCCCCCCCCCTTTTGTCCTTTGGGCACAAAAGCTTTTAATTTTGGCAAATTTCAATTTTTTCTTTTGTCATTGTCCTTTTGTATCATATATCTAAGAAGGGTTTGCACAATCCAACATCATGAATTTGATTCTTACATTTTCTTAGAAGAGTTTTAGATCTTACATTTAGGTCTATGATCCATTGTGACTTACGTTTTGCTATGGTGTGAGGAAGGGGTCCATATTCATTCTTTTGCATGTGGACATCCAGTTGTTTGTGCCCATTTGTTGAAAAGATATCCTAAAACATTTTATGCTGATTATCTCCTGTATACCACACAAACCCTATTAGTAGATATTCTTCTTCTCTTTTGACAAATGAAGAAACTAAGTCTTATAACTTATGTTTTATTTATTCACTTGAAAAATATTTAGGTGCTGTGTGCTGGTAAAGAAATATATTATGCAGTTCCTCCTCTCAAATTGGTTAAAGGCACAAATGCCAGTGTGTGATAAGGTTTTCACCAGAGAAATGGAGAAAAAACCAAACAACAAAACAGTACCAACATGACATATGTTCATTCATTTATTTGTTATTATCATATAGTTGTACTGAGGTACATTGTGACATTTACAAAAGTGCTTACAATTTATATTAGTTAAATTCATCTCCTCCATCATTCTCCTTTATTACACCTCCTCCCTTCTTAAAATAGTTTCAACAGGTCTCATTTTCCCAGTTTGATACATGAATACATAATATTGTCACCCTCCTACACCCTTTCTTTATATCCTCCTCCCTCCTACTGGTACCTATCCCCAGACAGGACCTGTTTTACCTTCCTCTCCTCGTTTTTGAAAAAAGACTTCTTTTTTTGCTTAAGATATCTATAAGAGAATTTCATTATGACATTTCCATGTATTGTATCCTGAATTAAGAGCCTAGATATGGATCCGTATCCCTCTGACACCAAGTGCTACTTTATGCTGTAAAAAGAATTTTATAAATTATAAAGCAGTATAGAAGTGTATTGTTGAAACCCTTAAAGAAATAAGCTTTCCAAAGGCGAGTACATAAAGAGAGGAAACAGAAGACAGATAAGCCAGCATTGAAAAACACCTACTTACACTGGAAAAAAGAAGTGAAGAGAAGGACTGGTTGTATCTGTGGGTCTGTAAGATGAGTAGTTCTCAGACTTTTTGGGTTTGATCCATGTTTTTTAGCTAGGATAAGTGAACATTATGCATTCAACTCACATAGATACCCAATTAAGGGGCCACGAACACAGAACTATGGAAGATGGCTAATAGTCTTGCTAAGCACTTAAATATCTACCTTATTCATCATCATCAGTTTAGAAAATTGTAAGTATAGTAAAAGAACAATTCTGAAGACACATACATATTATACAAGTTGTCATATATTACATATTAAGTATTTCCTAATCATCTACCTGGGCCACGTTTCCTCATTCAACAAAACAACTGTTTTGTTGTTTGCTTTTTTCCCTTAATTTCTCTGCTGAAAAACCTCATTGTACACTGGCATTTGTGACTTTATCTAATTTGAGAGCACAAAATGGATACTGTATTTCTTCACCAGCACATAGCACTTGAATGTTTTTCAAGTGAATAATACTGATTAAAAGAATGAATCAGCAACCTTGTGAACAAAGGGATGGGGGGAGAAAGTTAATTTTAAGATATTGATGTATAATACTCCTTGAACATTACATAACTATTTGAATAGTGGCATAATTAGTAAAATTGGGCTCCAGTGCAAATTTGAATATTCTGTTCACTGGGCTCTGGTGACTCATGCCTGTAATTCTAGCTACTCAGGAGGCAGAGATCAGGAGGACTGCGGTTCAAAGACAGTCTCAGGCAAATAGTTTGTAAAGAAAAGAACCCATCATAAAAACCAAACAAACCAACCAAACAAAATAAAATGGGGGAGTGGCTCAAGCAGTAAGAGTACCTGCCTAGTAAGCCTTAGGTCCTGAGTTTAAACCCCCGTGCTACCAAAAAAAACCAAAACCAAAAAAACCCAAAACAAAACATTCTGTCTCTCCCTCTCTATTATGGGCCCTACAATCAACTCTTCTGCTTTCTAGTGGGAGAGGAGGTTGGACTTAAAAAAAAAAATTCCTGGTAGGCAGAGCTAACATATTCTTAGTTCTACATTTGTATGTAAAGTACATTATATATAATATAGTGCATAATATGTAGTAAGTGCTCAAAAATGCAGGAATAAGTGCTATGTGAGTATAAGTCAGTAGTGGACAAGCAGGCTTTCTTAGGGCCTTTAAAGGAGAGGGTTTTCTTTGGTAGTACTGGAATTTGAACACAGGGCCTCACACGGCACTTGTCAGTCCTAAGTGGATGGAGATTGTAAAGCAGAAGGCCTTCTCTTGAGCAAGAGCCATGTGCTGTAGTCCTGCGTGGTGGAGACATTTCTCCCTCTGCCTCAGGCTGAGATTTTGCATCTAGTGCCTTGTTGTAGAAGTGGCTGTCTGGGCTGAAAAATCTATAATCTCCAGCTTTGGTTAGTTTTGTCACTACTTAAACACTAAGTTTATGCACTGATTTGATAGCAGGCTTGTTTTAAAACAGAAAATCTAAACTGAAGGCATGGCTTAAGGGATAGAGTCTTAAGTCTTGCAAATCTAAGCAAGCACCCTCCTTACATTTTTATATCTTGAAGGGATCTTGTATTTCCCCTTAGGCATCTGGACATCCTGTGGCTGGGACACTTACCAGAGGGCATGTCCTAAAGATTTGTGGGGCCTGAGAAAGAGTACAGATGGAAATCCATGTATCATATGATTAAGTATTTAAAAATTGTAAACAAAGCTATATAATTGTTAAATTATGTTTGATCCTCCTACATCAATAAATATGTATAAAGTTATGACTTTTGTATGATCAAAATTGGCAAAATACCAAAGATGGCCGAATTGAATTATTATAAAATTAGCATATATTATAACTATGAATTGAATTTCAAAATAATTTTTCATATTTGAAGAATTGTTTTTCTAAAATACTCAAAACCATTTATAAAAGATAAAGAGAAGAAGCATAATTAAACTACTGATGAAGTGGCTCAAGTAGTAGAGCACCTGTCTAGCAATCGTGAGGCTGAGTTCAAACTCCAGTACCACCAAATAATAATAATAATGATGTTACTAAAGTTGAAAGTCTTTGACTTTTTTGATTAATAATTTCTAACAGGCTCAACTTCTTAGTAATATTTGAATTCTCCCTGCACAGACACAGCGTTATTCTTCTTTCATATGTGTTCTGTGTGTTTGAGGTTTGTAACTATTCTTCTAGAGGGTGTTCCTGGTAACTTCTTTGTGGATTTTTTTTTCTTTCTTTTTGCAGTAAAACAATCCATTCAACAAACACAACCTAATGTCAGGGGAGCAATGACAGAAGGGACTCCATTATGGATGAGAGAGGCATTTTAAAAGCACACATCTAAAGAGGCCTGGGAAACAACGGGTTTTCAGAGAAATAGCAAGCCTCTTACCAAAGAAACAAGACGCAGCTGCACAATGTGCGGGGTGGGGCCAAGGCCAGGAAGAGCTGACCAGACCTTCCTGGAATGTTCAGTTTGATAAGGAGAGGGATGGACAGGTGGTCAGACTGAATGAGATGTTGACTAGGCGCCAACCAATCACAAATATAGAATAGTTGAACCTGTCAGTTATATCATCTCCTGGACTTCAGTCTTTCTTTGGCTTAGCTCTAAGTCCCACCAGTTAAGGTGCTTTGCTATCTTTTCAATAAGCCATGTGCTTACTTTCAACTCCTGGTCCAGCGTCTTTAATCAGCGACAACTCCAGGCACTAACTGGGGAACATTTCAGTATCACTAAGATTCTTTTCCCTTTGGCCAAGTTCTAATCCAAGTTTGTCTAAACCATCCGTCTGGATGCATTTCCAGCTGGATTACAGTAGTGTTACTTTTTTCGTTCCAAGTGACTGGAGTGACTGTTAAAAAGTCTTTTCCGGTAAAAGCGCCATCTCAAACGAATTAACCCCAGCGTTTGCTCAAGAATCTGCACCAGGCTTCGCCTTTTCGAGTCTCCTGGGCCCCTCACGTGGCGGGGCTAGGCGCTGGCAACTGAGTCAGCGACTGCGGGTAGACGGCGGCCAGTTCCGGTTGGGAACGCGGCGCCGGACTCAGCCCGGGTTTTGGCAACGCCCAGTCCACCTCAATCCCAACACTCGCTGCCAGTCCATTTCTCAACAGCCCCAAACCACGGGGTGGGGAGGGCGGCGCGCGGGGCATGCCGGGGCGGGCAGGTACCTGGGCGGGGCGCGCTGTGATTGGCTGCAGTCGGAGGGCGGGGGCCGACCCCGGAAGAGCCCTCTGCTGAGCTCCGCAACAGGTTGCTGCCCCGGGAGTGAAGCGGCGGGGACCGGAGCGGCGGGGAACAGGCCCAGGATGGACAAGCTGAAGAAGGTGCTGAGCGGGCAGGACACCGAGGACCGGAGCGGCCTGTCCGAGGTGAGTGCGCCCTGTCGCCGTCGCACACCGCCCGCGCCTCGGGTGCCCGTGGGGTCGCGGGTCTCCGCGTTCCGCCAGCGTCTGCGGATCTTTCAGAATTTCTTGGAAAGCATCTCGGCCTCTTCTTCCGTCTGCCCGCAGAGTTCGGCCAGGACCAGCCACAGGTGCACACCAGGCCATTTGCGTACGGCCCTTGGCGGCGTCCGGGTTCTTCCCGTCCCGTGCCCCTTCCTCTCCATCCCCTCCTCTCTAAAAGACTGGACAGCCCTGCGTCACACCCCAGCAATGCGGGCGAGGCCGTCGGGAAAGCCCTTTCCGGCCCGGTCGTCTGCTGTACCGGCTGCGGTGGGGTGGCGGTCCCGCAGCTTTCCCCGATCGCTGTCCACCGTGCAGGGTCACTTGCCGGGTTTAGGTTCTGGCGTGTGTGTAGGTTGTGGGGTGTGTGTGTAGGTTGTGTGTGTGTGTAGGTTGTGGGGTGTGTGTAGGTTGTGGGGTGTGTGTAGGTTGTGGGGTGTGTGTAGGTTGTGTGTGTGTGTGTGTGTGTGTGTGTGTGTGTGTGTGTATGTGAGACACGCCCACCCGACCCTGGTAGCCTGCTTTGTTGTTAAGCTCCCGGGACCTAGAACATCTTGTTTCGTGCGCACCTGGGCCCTGTAGACTACCGGTGTCTCAGGAGACTTGCCTGGAGAACATTTGATGGAGCTGAAACTTGGCCAACAAGGCCCTGTGTTCTAGACTCACACAGAAGGATTGATGTCTTACTATTTTGACTGCTTTTAGCATTTGTTTGGAAGACAAAAAAATGTAAGAAAAAAAAGCATTTTATGTTTTGGTGCATTCCTTAACCTCAGTTTCTCCATCTGTAAAAGGAGGGTGTTGAACTTCAGTTTTCCTCTAACTTTCATTGGTGTTTCTCATGTTTTTTCTCAGCCTTTGTGGTTGATTTTAATGAGTTTAGCTTTGTTTGGTACTGGTTCTTCCACCCCTCCATGAAATCACAAAATGTAGAACTTGCCTTCTGAATCTTCACCTTGTACACTGTAGGAATTAAGTGTTAGAGGAATTCTAGCACTCCTTTTGACATTTCACAGCAGCTCAGTGGGTTCTTTAAAGTTTGTTGTTAATTGGTCAAGACTCAAAAGTAATTTCATGGATTCTTGATTTCTGGCTTGTTATGAACTCTCAAGTTGAATCTCAGATGGGGCCCTAGAAAGGTCTGACACTAAGTTGACCCCTCATCATCACCTAAAGTTTCATGTTCTATAGACTCATGACAAGCTCCAGTTGGAGATGGAGAGAGACACACTTTCTCTTCCAGAAGACTCTTGGGGTGAGTAGAGTGTTGACAGTGAGATGATGCAGATATTATATATTTAGAAGATCAACACGAAGCAATGAATGATGCAATACCATTGAAAACATAAAAGCTGAGTTTTGGCCCCAAATGGTGAATGCATGTGTTGGATACAATGAAGGCCTTTAACTTCTGGTAGAGTCAGGCACATATTACAGCTGTATTTAAAAGATTAGAGACTTCTCTCTTGTTCTAAAATACTGTTGTCAGTTTCCTCTTTCAGACTGAGAATCCTGTTTATGTGCATCATTGTGTGACACTTTTGGAGTCTTGAACTCCTGGAAACATTTTGTAGGCGACAGGCTTCATTTTCAGGAATATTTTGGCTTAGTTTTCACTTATTGGGTAGGGTTTCCTTTGAAATACTGGCACTAATGTGATCAGATTACATTTTCCATGGTTTTGAGACTGGCAAAGCTGAAAGATTGTGTGGTGAAATCCCTGTTTTGTATAGTATGCTGGATGAGGTGGCCTTAAAAATCTCTTCAAATTCAATTACATAATCTGTCAGAGGTCACCAGAAGTGCTTTTAGATTTAATTATTTTAATACCAATTGTGAAAGTATGAGTATTTCTGGTTCTTCTACCTCTTCTTGGTAACTGTAAAGTTTTCATGGTAGTGTCTAATAAACAGTCCCATGATGAGTTTTCTAACCATCGCCTCATCTTCATAAACACTCCTTAAGGTCTAGTTTCAATGGACGTCTTTCTGAAGTACAGGTTTTGTGTCTCCTGTATAGGATTCTCCACACAAGGAAGTTTTGAATGGTATCTGATCTTAAAAGCACAGGAATAAAGCAGCATTCCTTTCTCACCTTCTTCTGGTTACCAGCCCTGTATCCCAACAATCCTTAGCTTTACTTCTTGGCAAGAGTCCCTCTTCCCTCCACATCCTGGTATCAAAGGGACCTTTGTGCATGACTGCCAGTCAGACAGCTTGTGAGCACAGAGCCTACAAATTTTATTCAGGGGCTGTTTTAGCTACTCTAATTTCCAAAAAAGCTGTACATTAGCCCAGCTTCCAGCAGCCATGATTTAGAGAGACGTCAGCCGAGTTCGTTTTCATAAATTGGCAAAAAAGAAGTGTTTTGCTTTCATTGCGTCCAGTTAGAAGAAGTGGAATAACAATTTCCTCTTTCCCTGGCCAAGTGTAAAAGAACTCCCAGCCACATACAGTGAAAGAACACAATGACGAAATTATCCAACTCCCTCTCTCTACTCTTTTTTTTTGTGGTACTGGGGTTTGAACTCAGGGTCTCATGCTTGCTAGGCAGGTGCTTTACCTATCCTCATTCCTTGGCAAAAACAGTAACATTTGGCTTTGACTTGAGACACTTGTGGAACCAGAGTGTCACCTTCCTTTCCGAAGGTAGAAACCAGAGACATACTTCTTCTTGCCATTGATTTTGATTTTTTTATAAGAGCTGGAATCTCACTATCCTGTTAAGATGATTATCTAGCACTCTAAATGCTAAGACCAGTTCAAATTTGATACTTAACCTTATGGTTTATCCTTAAAAAAAAAAAACGCTCAATGGTTTTGAATATCCCTGTTGATGCCAAATAGAGCTCAGTCCAAGTCTTCTGTCACTTCTTTCTCCCTGACTGTAGCTTCATTCTTGTTTTTACCCTCACAAGGTAAGTTTTTTGAGTAGGAAGAGCAGTCATTTTTCATTTTCTCAGTGGGAAGTTACACGGGCTAGTTAGAAATGGTCTAACTTAATTGTCTTGGGCCTTGAAAAGCTTGTAATAGAGCTTTCAATGTTTAAGAGACATACTCTTCATGGGGTCTCCAGCATAAAACTAGATGGCTCAACTGTCAGGTCCTAACATCTAACATGGCTCCCTGCTGCATGCTCCATCACCCCTCTCTTTTTTTTTTTTTTCTTTTTTTTGTGGTGCAGGGAATTGAACCCAGGGCCTTGCACTTGCTAGGCAAGCAGTCTACCTCTGAACTATATCTCCAGCCTGTCCTATCCCTAACAGTATCTTCTATGCAGGGTCATACTTTGCCACAAGTTTCTGCACATGGGGTATTACAGTTTCATGAGTCCAGTTTCAGTGTCACTATGTGTGACTCTATGGGAGTGGAAAGAGAACCTTTTGATGACCTAAATACCTTCCTCCTAAGTGGAGGTTAAGGCCTTCTACAGCAGTACCTGTCACACCTGAGGAGCCTGTGGTCACTTCTGGTTTGACAGGTATCTGAGCTGGGGGCAGTCCAGGTTGAGGTAAGGGCCAGTCAAATGATCCTTGCAACCTCTGCACACTTAACCTTCCTGTATTAGTCAGGTGGAAATGTGAGCATCTTGGCCACTTTGTCAGGAGGAGACTCTGCTGCCCATACAAAGGGACCCTTCATGAACAAATGCTGGGCTAGCTGCCCTCCTTGACTTTGGTCTTTCAGTGGTAGTACTTGTTTTCAACTGGGGGCACCTGTGCCTTCTTGAATCAGATAAACAGCCTAGGAAGGTCACTGGTGCTGAGACTTGATTGTTATCTTTGACACAGGAAAAGAACCATTGGGAGCTGCTGGTGAACTTTCCTGTTTTGTAGAGTTTTTCCAGAAACCTTAGCTCCCCCTGAACTTTGCTCAGAGGAGGAATTAATCATGATGGCAGAAAACCAGGATGAACAGGGCAGTAATTAAATTGGCTCTGTCTGACACTTGGGTGACTTGGTTGATGCCAGCACTCTGTAAGTACAACATCTTCACTGAGAGTGAATAGCAGGGATGAGAACCTTTTCTCTCCAAGGTCCCAGAAATGCCACAGGAGCAGCAACTGCTGCAGCTGGGCTAGTGGGCATAGGAGAGGATGACCAGTGGATCCAGCTGCCTGAGTTCTAGGCCCTTGTCTTTCCCTTGTGACCCAGGCCTTGCCTGGCAGAGGTCATCCTTTCTAGTCGTGGTCCTCATCCTGCCTGGGCTGTGGTAAGGCTTTGGGCTACACTATTGTCTGCTGGTTTGCTTCCCTGGTTGTGCTCAAGGAAGGATGCCTCCACCTTTGGAGATGTCCTACCACAGGCATAGGGAGCTCTTATCAGCTGTGACCTGTGGAGAGATTTGTGTCTGGGTAAGAGCTTAATGCTCTGAGAAGAGCTGGATGTGATGACTTCCTGTAGCCATCAGCATGTGTGACTCTGTGTTCCCTGCCTTCTCCAAAACAATACATGTTTAATTGTGTGCTTCCTTTGTTTTTGGTAAATGTGCATATATGTAATTGTTATTTTGAAATTTCAGGTAGTTGAGTCATCTTCGTTAAGCTGGGGAACCAGAATAAAAGGCTTCATTGCGTGTTTTGCTATAGGAATTATCTGCTCACTGTTGGTAAGATCTCCTTCTGTTCTGTCTTTTCCCCCATCCTCCTTTGCTATATTCTTTTCCTTCTGCTCTCCTGCTTTTTTCTTTTGCTCTTCACTGAGATGCATGGGTAAGAGGAGACGGAGATGGGGAGGCGGGGAGGACAACAGGCTCTTTAGAGCTCCGTCTGAGTTCCTGGCTGTGTGGCTGTGGTGGAGGGGTTGTTCTGCTCCTGTGAAACATTCTACACTTTCCTTCTAGGGTACTTTTCTACTGTGGGTGCCCAAAAAAGGACTACACCTCTTTGCAGTGTTTTACACCTTCGGGAATATTGCATCAATTGGAAGGTAACTGTTTTTCATCCAACTTCAGCCAATCATTAGGTGGGAAAGCAGATATGGATTATGTTTGAAGGAGGTGAAGGAGGATGCTCCAGTAGTTTTAAGGTTTTGGAGAGGTAAGAGGTAGTTGGAATATAGCATGTTCATATCCTATTATTTCTAACTTCTCATATCTTTTTTTTTTCATTTTTCTTTTATTATCCATATGTGCATACAAGGCTTGGTTCATTTCTCCCCCTTGCCCCCACCCCCTCCCTTACCACCCACTCCGCCTTCCCCCGCCCAATACCCAGCAGAAACTATTTTGCCCTTATTTCTAATTTTGTTGTAGAGAGAGTATAAGCAATAATAGGAGGAACAAGGGTTTTTGCTGGTTGAGATAAGGATAGCTATACAGGGCATTGACTCACATTGATTTCCTGTGCGTGGGTGTTACCTTCTAGGTTAATTCTTTTTGATCTAACCTTTTCTCTAGTACCTGTTCCCCTTTTCCTATTGGCCTCTAACTTCTCATATCTTAAGTTTGTCTTTGAAACACCCCTGGGAGAAAGCAAGAAATCTGTTTCCACTGTGATTTTATGTATGAGGGAATTGTGGACAAAGCATTTGATTTCTCTAAGGGGAATAACACAGTCTTCCTCATTGCTGTCAGAGTTGCAGGTTCTAAAAGGGCTCACCAGGCTAGAGGCTGTAAATGAAACTGGTTATTATTTAGCATCAGACCATGCCGACTTGAGGATCAGCTCATGTGGCAGGGCATCTGATAGGGTGCTGTCCAGAGTGGGCAGCCATTACACATGCTGCGGCCACACAGATACCCCAGGTCAACCTCATTCACTCTGCTTCAACCACACCTGTGCTGACCACCCCAGTTCTGCTTATCCACCTGGAGTGCTGGCCTGGCTTCTAAAAAATGGCCTGCAGACACCTGAAGTTGGTCATCTTTCTTCCATCTTCCCTTGTATCTCTATAAGTGGTTTCACAGTCCTCAGGGGTCCAAGTTCCTCTGTCTTTCATGATTATTCACCAAGGCTTTGTGTTGACTTCTCTTAACCGGTTCCTTCCTCTCTGTCCCTCACTGATTGACTTTCATGCCCACTGACTAAGTATTGATCATACTCTGGTGGGCTCTGAGGCTATAAACTTAAGTACAGTTTGGTCTCTGCCTCACTGGAGCTCAGTGGTCAGCAAGGCAGACAGGTATCAACTGGTGACACAACAATATAATGAAAGGCATGCTTGGGGGAGAGGCAGCTGGCCATGATCTGCCATGGAGTTAAGGAGGACTTCCTAGACACAGTGATTTCTGAACTAGTCTAGCTTTGGCCCATATCCTTCTTACCCATCATTCCTCTGCTGGGGTTTCTTGGCCTCCTTATTCCCCCTTTCCAGGTCATTTTCCACTGAGCTGTGGAGCCATTCATTTTTAGCCCATTGATTTGCTTCTAGTCTCCTGTCTACAGGTGGACCACAAACTCCTCAGTATGCCTACAAGCAGGGCCCTTTGAGATCTGGCTTCACCTGGGTCTCACTCCTCAGCGAGGCTGCACTTCTTGAATTTCTGTAAACATCTTTGTGCTTTTGCTCAGGCTCTTTTCTCTGCTTGGAGTGCTTTCCCATCTTTCCCTTCCTGGGTTTGGTGGTTACTTTTGTTAAGACTTGGCTCAAAAGTCACCTCTTCTGTGAAAATTTCCCTAATTACCTTCTCCTCCCTAGAAATGTTTAGTCTAAAAGAACTCTTTAGCAAATCTTAATGGGACAGACTCTTCTCCTTTGGGGCTCCCTCTACCCCATGATATGATGGCTCAGGCAGCATTTTATTAGACTGACTGCTATTGTCTCTTGACAAGGGCTATGCTGGTGTTTTACTTGTCCCAGCTCTGGCTGGAATAGTTAAACAGATGGCTGAAATGCACAACTCTCATCACCTTCTTAAATCTTAATTTATTAAGCTGGCCCTCAGAGATGTCTTATGTTGCCTCTAAAGCTTTCTCTAATACTAGCTTTCGGGAATTTTTGCTTTGGGCAGACTGTGTGTGTTAAATTTATAGTCTAGACTGAACATAATTATATGGGTGTGTTGTTTAGTCTAAAAGAAGTCTTTAGCAAATCTTATGGGACAGACTCTTCATAGCACTGTGGAAGTAAAATAATAAAGGAGCAAAGTGTTATTTCCTGGGTGTACTAGGAATCTGTGGCTTTACCTAAAATCTGTTATATACTTATATATGCTGCATTTAAGTTTTAGGACCTGTCTTGGCTATTGCTTCTTATTCTCAGTTAAAGAAGTAGATCTCTTTAACTGAGAAAGCAGAAAGTAGCATTAAATTCAAGTTGAAACTTAATGGACTTGAAAGAGAGGCAGACTTTTTTTTTTGTCTATAAGAATTATTGAGTTCTCAGTTGCTAATGTCATCTGCTGGTTGGCTTGTATTAAATAGTGGCTGTAAGGAGCTAATGCTGGAGTGATGCCATGTGGGCGTTTCCTTGGGACTCAAGAAATATAACCTAAACCTGGCCCTGGCACTTGATGTGTTAGGCGTGAGGGTTCTGCTTCCTTTGTGACTACTCTCACTCACTAGCCAGCTCTCAAGTTCTACTCAGAAGGCATGCTGAAGATGTCTTTTAAAATAGATGTGGAGATGAATGCCAGCTCTTTGGGTTCCTAGCTGTGTGATCTTGAATAAGTAAATTAACCTGAGCTTCATTTTCACATCTCTAAAATAAGTGTAATAATACCTCATAGAGTTGTTGAGAGGATAAAATGAAAAATATGTGTAGTATCTGGCATTTAGCAAACATTAAAAAATAATAGATGAAACTATTATCATTATTAAAATGATTCCCTGGAGATTATGAAAGAAAATGAAATGTTCTACTTTTTAACATAACTAACCTAAGCCTATAAGGTATGTTTTTTCATTTTTAAATTACATGAGCCTTTTGGTTGGTTTGTTTCCGTGGGTAGGTTGTCAAGGAGGCAAGGTAGTACCTCTCAGAGAAAGGGGTCCTCTAACCTGATGGTGTGAGTGTGGCTCTAGAGTCAGACCTACATGCCCTTAGAGCCTAGCTCAATCCTTTACTAATATGTAAGCTCCTGGACTTCAGTCTTCTCCTCTGTAAAATAAGTATAATTGTTCCTACTCACAGGTCCTTGATGGATTAAATGAGAGCAATGCATAAAGCTCCATAGACATAGTACCTGGCACACAGCAATAGCTGTTCAGATGTCAACTACTCTTCCTACTGTTATTACCACAGGAAACCTGGGGAGGCAGCTCACTGTGTCTCATGAAGTTCTGTTCTGCTCTGAATGGCTTGTGTGTATGTTTGCCTCTTAGCACCATCTTCCTCATGGGACCCCTGAAGCAGCTGAAGCGCATGTTTGAGCCTACGCGTCTGATTGCTACGATCCTGGTGCTGGTATGTTCTGCTTTTTAGCTGGACTTCTGAAATGGGAGTTTCTCTTCCTTCTTTTATTCCTCCCTGGGATTGAAGCCAGGGCCTCACACATGCTAGGCAAACACTGTACCAATGAGCTACGTTCTCTGCCCTTTTTGTTTTGTGAGACAGGGTCTTTCAATATAGCTCAGGCCAACCTTCAACTCAAGATCCTCCTACTTAAGACTCCCAAGTGCTGGGATTATAGACATGTACCACCATGACTAGCAGGGAGTTTCACTTCTGTCCTATTAACCCAGAATGCCCCTCCCTTTGACCCAATCTTCCATACAGCCATCAAAAACATTCCAGATCCCATTCTCTAGACTCCTGGCTAATACTGGTATTACAACATACGGAACCTGATCAGCATACTTTTATTTTTAGTTTTATTTGTGTACCTCTCATTTATTTAAATAGGTAAGTTCTCTAAGACATGATCATGTTTGCTATTTATTTTGTGTCATACTGGGGACAATGCTGGACAATGTTTAGGGCATATTGATTGAGTAGGTGCTATTATAGATGGGTAGAGATGAAAGGCATGGCTGATGGCTGGGACACTAGCTGTTTTTGGCCAGCCAGTTATAGATGGTGTGGACAAATCTCTCATGGAAAGAACTTTCTAAGAAAGGAATTAGGAAAAGTATCAGGTGACATGTAAACAAATAACTGGCTTGCTGATTGTGAGATGGACATCTCATACTGATCTTTGTCCTCATACACTCTGCAGAAACTCTGTTCAGCAAGATTCAAAGTACAGAGGTTTCTGTTAAGCTTACTTTCATGTGTTAGAATGAAAAGATGGATGGATGAATGGGTGGGCCAGAAACATGTTTGTATTTGCTGGGTAGAGATTCTGGGAAAACTTGAATATAGAGGTTTACCCAGAAAACCTGCATGAATCTATTGGCTGATATGATTTCTTGGGGATTTTAGCTCTTTTGCCGAACATGGAGCAAACATGCTCAGATGGATTAAATGGTTTGAAATGAAGGATGCATTTGGTGCTGCAATAATTATAGAATCTGATCACTGCAGCCTACTAAATATTACTGTAAGTTTGTCAAGGATAAACCTTGACAGTTTGGTGGTTTATTTTTTTGCCATATTATCATTGTATTAATTAAATATTTCCTCTCTCCCTTTAGTTGTGTTTTGCACTTACCCTGTGTTCTGCCTTTTGGGTAAGTGTGGACTTTAATTTCTGTTAACCATTTTGGTTTGTGCTTCTTGTTGCATACCTTCCTGTAACCATATCATTTTTTCTTTCAGTGGCATAACAAGGGACTTGCACTTATCTTCTGCATCTTGCAGTCCTTGGCCTTGACGTGGTAAGTAACCTTTTCAGTAGTTCCCTTCCTCATAGACCTCTGACTAATGTTGCTAAAGAAGATAAAACCCATGTGTTACGGGTGCGAGGTGCGAGGGTGGATTGAAGAATTATAGTGATGCAAATGAAGTGAGGCTCTGGAGCAATAGCCAACAGTTGGTTGACTCGGCTGGTGGCCAATAGATGGCATTAGTGGTCTTGAGTGGTCATGGGAGGCTGTTGGTTTGCTGCTGCATCATTATTGCTGAGCTCATGGTTAAGTGTGAGATGTACAAATGTTATTAAGCCACTCATATCTGGTAAGTGTAAGGACAATGAAAGCATTGTAAGGATTCATGGTAAAAATTGTGTGTCAAAGAGACATTAACAGAAAGGGAAAGTGGTAAGAAAATAATGATAGTTACAGTTGTGATGGGATGAATCATTTAGCAGTACCACAAAGAGGGAATTGTCAGTGGTAGATGAGGAGCAATGACTGATGAAACAGAAAATCTGCGTCCTATTGGTTTTGAGAATTCAGGTGAAGACTAGGAAATTGTAGTTCAATGGCCAAGCATAGTGAAAGGGATACCAGAGACATGAGTTTTCAAAAACTGTGACTGGAGCTACAGTTTGTGGTCCTTAGAAATCTGCACAGTATTCAAGGGAGAAGAGTGGTAGCACATGTGGGATCTGTGGCTTCTGAGACAATTCTATGATACTTTCAGAGTTTATCAAGGGTTGACAGCTGTCAGAGTGGTTTCAGTATAGATGTGACTAATGTATTTAGGGGAAAAATTTTTTACTAGAATGCAGAGAAAAGAGAAGGCCATGGACATTTAAAAGCTCTCCAGGATCAAAGAACTCCTATTTGGTAGAAATGGATCTTGAAACTAAATTTAACACTCATCTCCCTCTTCAGAAATTTTGGACTTTTGAATAAATATGCTTTCAAACTGCCTTCCAGAATTGTGTTTGAACATTCACTGTGTTCACAAGTGAGTGAGCTTGTGTATATGGAAAAATGTAAGGCAAGGAGAAGAATGATAATCTTATTATAATGTGATATACATTTGGTAGTAGGTGCTACAAAAACTTAGTTGGTTGGCGTATGTTTATATTTGTGTTTTCTTTTGTGTGCACAAATTGGTACCCACATACACACACCTCATTTTGTTTATGGACTAATTGTGAAACCAGTTTCAGAGGGTAACAGTCTTATGGTCTCAGGTTAATGGTGATGTATCCTCCAACACCCAACTATTCAGACTTTATTTGCTTTTCTTAGGGCTGATCAACTTAAATCCTGTCTGATACACAGTGCCTGGCTATTTAGAGTTGTGGAGCCTCTTCCATCATCACCCTGAACTAACTGAGATCTATAAAGATACCTTTGAGCTTGGGTTCTTGAAGCATTCTCATCCATAAAGTATAGAGTAGTGTAGAGGTTTTTTTTTTTTTGCAAAACTGTGGTTTGAACTCAGGGCCTTGTGCTTGCTAGGCAGGCATTCTATTACTTGAGCCACACTGCTAGCCCTTTTTGCTTTTGTTATTTTTCAAATAGGGTGTTACATTTATGTCCTGGCTGTGATCCTCCTGTTTATGCTTCCTGTGTAGTTGGGATGACAGGCACATGCTACCACCACCATGCCCAGCTTTTATTGGCTGAGATAGGGGTCTCATGAGCTTTTTTGCCCAGGCTGGCCTCAAATTGTGATCCTGTCAGTTTCTACCTCTTGAGTAGCTGGGTTATAGATAACAGGCATGAACTACTTTGCCCAGGTTTTTGTTTTGTTGTTTTTTTTTTTTTTTAGTAGTAGGAGCAGAGCATAAAATTTATCTCAACTGGGTTGAAATTAAATACTTCTGAGGGTGTATAAAATGTTAGAGGACAAGTCTTCTATATTTTATTTGCAGTTCTTTCAGAATAGGGCTCCTGGCCATCTGGATATCTGGAATCTGCTTATTTTAGGTGATTTCTGTTGGCTTATTTGGATAAAGCAGCACTCTTATGAGGTTGAAATTACAGGGGTTATCACCATATGGGCCATCTGTCCCCTTCTATGACCACCTAGGTATGCATGTGGCAAACTGTGTGTGCATGTGTGTGTGCATATGGATGTACATGCCCCAGACCAGGTCTAGATAAATCACTGTAGGTACAAGAACTCAAGAACATTGTACTTTGTAATCTCCCACCTCCTTCATTCAGTTTGATCTTTTGTTTGCTTTTCTTTGCAGGTATAGCCTTTCCTTCATACCATTTGCAAGGTAAGACTATGTATTTGGAAATGTAATTTCTGTCATTTATGGACAATCATGTTTGCATAGTGCCTTTCAGTTGAGGGAATTTGGTTTCAGAGAGTACTTGTTGTTATCTTTACTAAAATTCTTTGAGCTAAATAAACAAAGGTTATGTATCTGTTTCGTAGACTAGTATGTTAAAGCTCACCCCTCCACTAAACTTAATAATACAACGAATGATAAGTTTTTACCAGATCATTAGTTCCTGGTGTTGTAGATACTCTACTTTAATATAAATTACATTTATGCACAATATCACTTAATATGATAGCATTGAGAAGGTTTCTTTTTTAAGTGAACATCAGTTTAATTTCACTGAGCAAGAGATGGAGGGAATCTCAATTTATGCTTGTTTTCTTACAGTATCCCACTTAGAGGAAAGTTTCAGAAGAGTTTATAAAGGGAAAGTAAGCAGGATTAAGACTAGAGGATCAGGGCTTCCTGGTTAGTGCTGTGACCTTGGGCAACTCTCCTGACTACTCAGGCCTCAGATGAGGCTTTCATAACTGGAGCCAGCAGGGCTGGATCATCAGAGGCCCCTCCTAGCTCAGAGGTTCCGTTGCCAAATAAGCACTTTCAATGGTGGGCCTCTCAAAATTAGCCCCAGGATCTTTGCCTCTGCTCTACTGCAACCATTTAATTTCCATTCTTCTCCATCATAACATGTTAACTAAAACTTATCTTTCCCCCAGTTTTGCTGAGGAAATGAAAAATTGTACATGAGCTGGGAAGAAGAGAGGGCTGGCTTACACCTTGTACATTCCAAGTCTGTTGATGACAGTGATTTGAGGGTGCTGGGGAATGGCTTATTAGATGAGAAAGTAATAAGCCATCAAGTTAGAGGCAGCTGGGTGGCTTTGTGTAAACATTCTAGGTATATAACAGTCATGAAATACTCCATGCTCACCGTGCTCACCTTACCAGTTTGGGGAGATTGTGGCTGGTTTGAGAAGAGTATGGAGAGGGATATCTTGGGAAGCCAGGTTTCTAGGTGAAATAAGCCAAGGACTGCTATCTCTGAAAATCTAAGGAGATATTTATCAGCGTGTCAATGTTTTGTCTTGGTGTCTGAACCAGCTACATAATTTTCAGGGCACAGTGCAAAATAAGAATGTGGGCCCTTTGTTCAAAATTCTTCAAGATAATGACATCAAGGCATTAACCAAATGTGGACACTTCTGAGCACAGGGCCCAGAGCAGTTGCAAAGCACTCACCCATGAGGCTGGACTTGCATGGTGTCTTTCTTCTGGGCTTCAGACTTGATCTGGACTGGCATCTATAGATCTTATGTATGGGTAACAGGTAGAATAATGGAATTTTGTTTAAAGTAGTGAGTTTCATGTGTTGAGCAGGTGAAAATTTCTTATAGCAAGGAGAGGCTTACAAAGCTAGGTCTTACCCTTCTATTTGTGGCTTCTTCTAGCAGAGCTTTTGCCATAGTGTTCCACAAAAACACTTTCATGTGGGAGAAAATGGTTCTATGATCAAGTGAGTTTGAGGAATAGGTTGATAAAATTAGGTAGGTTCCTGTTGTCTGGCTTTCTAGATGCTTTATTGTGCTATGTGAGCTGTCAAGAGGGGTACTTATTTGGCCATAAAAAAACCCTTCTTAGGCAGAACATCTTAAGGATTGCCACTCTAGAGTCTTTTTTTTTTTTTTTTTTTTTTTGAGACAGGGTCTCGCTATGTAGCTCACCTCCTGAGTGCTGGAATTTTAGGCATGCACCACCATGCTGGGCTCCAAGTTCTCTTGGTGTTAAAATGCTGTGTCTGCCCAGGCGAATATATCCACTCACTTCTGCCTGCTTTGTATGACCCCTACCTACCAGTGTCCTTGGTGCAAGTGGTGCCAGTAACACAAAGAACAGAGTGAGGGGATGAGAACACTGATGCCCTGTTATACAGTGAGGGGTGGTGGTGGAAGTGGAAAAGTTTGCTTGGGCAACCTGGTGAACACCCACTCTTTCCTTTCAGGGATTGAATGCAGCATGTTAGTAAGTGCTTAGTATTTGTAGACAACTCTCTGTGTTAGGAAGCTCTGAAGGACATCCTTACTTGCAGTGAAGAAAACTTTAGTGACTCTGACTTAATGCTTTCAGCACATAACTGATTGTTAGAGTGTAGCAGTGCTGACTAATTTCTTAGTTTCCTCTAAGTATGATGATAGCTGTCATTTACTGAATATGTATTCTTTGTAATGCATTGATCCCCACAACCAGTCCACAGGGTGAGAGGACACATATCCTCTGACAGGTGAGGAATTTGAAATTCACACAGGACAAGTAACTGCCCCAGGGGAAACTACTAATAAATGTCGAAGCAAAGCCAGGTACCAGTGGCTCATGCCTGTAATCCTAGCTATTTGTGAGGCTAGCTGGGAATGATCGTGGTTTGAGGCCAGCCCTGGCAAAAAAAACTTGTGAGATCCCATCTCAACCAATAGCTGGGCCCAATGGCACACTCCTGTATTCTAGAAACAGCATGAAAATTAATATAGGAGGATTTTGCGACCTTTTCAAAAAGTTAGACCCTATTTCCAAAATAACTAGAGCAAAAAGAGCTGGAGGTGTGGCTCAAGCAGTAGAACCCCTGCCTAGCAAGCATGAGGCCCTGAATTCAAGCCCAAGTACCACCAAAAAAATAGTTGAAGCTGCAGTTGATGGGAGTAGGTCTGACCCCACAGTCCAATCACTTTCCCCTCAGCAGCATGCTACTGTGGGAAATTAATGGAGGTTTCTTTACCACTTACAGGGGCTTTTGGGATGATAATATCTATTCATCTTTGTACTTTTTTCTCCCTAGGGATGCTGTGAAGAAGTGCTTTGCTGTATGTCTTGCATAATACACTGCCAGTTTGCAAAAGTGTGGAAGGCACTATGGATGGAAGCTGGTGGAGAGTTTTGTAAATATCCTCTAAATCTCTGTCTTACAGACATGTGCCTTTTATCTTGCAGCAAAGTGTTGCTTGCTATTTGAACATTTGGGAGTTGCCTTTGGAAGCAATGATGTATTCCCAAACCCAAATGTATATATAGCACAATATGAGGAGGGGGGTTTTGTATCTTATGGAGTGGAATCTTCCTCATGCTCTGTTTCTTCTTTGGATGATATCTGTTGGATTCTCATAAATAAAAACCTGTTAAACAGCAGCAGATAAGCTTCGGAGCCACTGAGTCCCATCTGGCAGCAGGCAGCTCCATTGGAGATAACATTAAGGGACTGAATTTTGGGTCAACAGGAACTTTGCAGACTTGCCTCTCACAATGATCATCACCATACAGCATGGATGTGCTTCTACCCTGGTGTCTGAGAACAAGTGATTCTGTCCTACCCAAACCTGGCAGAGGAGTGAAGTAGGAAATAAGCAATTCTTCTGATAAGTTGTTTCTCAATCTGGACCTAGACCCTCTTGCTGTTCTGAATCACACCTGACTCTGGAATGTATTTTCTAACATTCAGTTCAGACTCTTTTTCTCTTGGGTGCAGCCCCACCCTGCCTACACATATCTTACTCCTGACCTCCTGGCACTAGGTGGAATGAGAACAAAGCAGTTGCAAAAATCACTGCTATTTCCTTTTGAATGAGAGCTGATAGGAGGCAAAAATCTTGCTGTTTCCTGCTTTATTTTTTTCTTCATTATTTATAAATGTTTGTTTTTAAATTGATTTTATTTCCTGTTCTCTGGAGTTGAGCCAAGGGAGAATGGGTGGGAAAACAGATCCCTGCTGTGGGGCCAGCAGGAAGTAGGCACGCCTGCATGGTGGCCTTTGAACAGTCCCAGCATTTACACAGCTGTAGGTGCTGAGAGGACACTAGGCCACAGGTGGTCATGTCTCAGCCTGATATCTAATCACATACAAAGTGCTTTGTGTCTGTGTCCTTTTCTGGTCTCATGAGAGCCTTGCGATGAAGCAAGGATTGTCACCCACTGGGTAGTCAAGGAAATAGAGGCTCATAATTTTTTTCCACATACATGTAAAGCTATAGCTGTGGCAGTTGAGCCTAGAGTCTGGGTACCCCAACTTTAGCCTCCTTCATGACACAAGTTCCTAGCACGTCTCTGGTTGTACCTCCTGTAACCTGTTGTAATTTCATCATCCTAGCCTTTGTCTTTTCTGTTTCAGTGTCTTTCCATTGCTTGTTCCATTTCCTACCTGCTGCCATTCCATCTCCCTTTTTGGCAACTTCCCCTGGGTCTATAGGATGTTTGTTGTTACTTGTGTTCCCTTTCAGCTGCTCTATGTTGCCTGGCCATCATTGGTGTCCTGTCATGATCAACTGGAGTTCTTGACAGTCCGGACCTCCAAAGAACCCTACAAGTGGAGTCTTTCTGGGTTTGCCTTTTTGCTCTTTACTCAGGACCATTTGGTTCATTTGAGTTCCTGCTTTGGCACCTCTGAACCAGAGGCAGTGGCTACTGTGATCTCTTTGCTTGTGGCTAATTGCTGAATTTTTCTTTCTCCTTCTGTGGCTAAGGACTCAGATGGTTTTTCTGAGCTGGTGAGGTCTTAACAGGCTGATTGGGTCAGAGGGTGGAATCAGTCTTCCAAAGTCCTTTCCAGAGTCTTTGATGGCATCTTCTAAGGTTCTCAGCCTGTCGTCCTCCAGGAAGGGAAATTATATGCTATCCTCTGTTTTTTGTGAGGTTCTGTCACATCCCAGGTGCCTCGGGGGACAGGTTAGAGTTCAGAAGGGCTCTAGTGTCAGAATTGCCATGAAGAAAGTTAGGAGTGCTCAGTTCCTTCTCTTTGGGTTGGTCACTGCAAGCTCCAACCACCCTGGCGTGATAGACCCAAAAGACTCCATGACCTCTTCAATGGTTAGACTTTTCTTTTTGGGACTTAAGGCCAAGACACCTTTTAAGATGTCATCAGGGCTGAATAGCAAAGCAGCAGTGAATTATAAGCTTAGAAGTCAAACATCTAAGGGTTGGTCACTGCAAGCTCCAACCACCCTGGCGTGATAGACCCAAAAGACTCCATGACCTCTTCAATGGTTAGACTTTTCTTTTTGGGACTTAAGGCCAAGACACCTTTTAAGATGTCATCAGGGCTGAATAGCAAAGCAGCAGTGAATATAAGCTTAGAAGTCAAACATCTAAATGTGAGCTGTGACTGAGTCACATATTAGTTGTGTCACGTTGAACAAGTTAGTATCTGGTACCTCATTTGCTCTTCTTGTTTAAAAACAGTGGTCCTGCTGGCTTGTTGCAGCATGTCAGTGAGATATGTACCATGTGCTTAACATGGGGCAAAACATAGAGTCTCATATATTTTTCATGGAATATTTTATAGTGAGCAGGAGGGGATGAGAGTATTTCTTCCCTCATTATAGAGAAGGAAGGGTTTATACCAGCTCCCAGCAGGAGGGGGTGGTGGGAGAGTGTTCTTGGTGAGAGATCACTCTTACATAAAGGCTTCTGTTTTGCCCTAACTCCCATGGCCTGTGGCGGGTTTGCTCAGGCAGTTCCAGTCTAGACACAGCAGTTTTTGGATGATCTTACCTTTCAGGATCTTCCAAACTCCAAAATTTTTCCTTATCCTTTGGTTGTTTCCTTATTTTTATTTGGACTGTGGGAGGAAGAAATCTGCAAATCTGCTGGAATCTAGTACCATGTAACATCATTGGTTAAAAGCAACCTTCTGAATGAGACAGAAGTGGAGTTAAGGTTGCAGATGTGCTTCCTGCTCCTGTGCCTTTTACCCTAACATGTTCATTACCAGGTGAAGAAGGAATCACTGCTATGAAAAGTGTTCATTTTGCCTTTTTCAATGTATTTGGTTGACTTAGCAACCTTGAATAAGAAAAGGAAAAAGTAATCCTTTGAACTCTAATATTTTTTTTGGTTGGTAGTGGGGTTTGAATTGAGGGCTTCACACTTGCTAGGTAGGTGTTCTACTGTTTGAGCCATGACTCCAGCATCTGATCTTTTATTGCTTTTATGAATTCTGGTTGTAAAGCTGGGAGTGAGAAAATCATTTTGCCCATTTCTTAGCCTCATGTTAAGGTGAGGGCTGGGAGTGTAGCTCAGTGGCAGAGCACTGCCTTAGCATGCACAAGGCCAGGAGTTCACTGTCTAGCAGCACCATTAAAGAAAACTTAGGGTGAATTTGTATGCCTTCAGAACATTGTGCCTATTCTAATATGATGAGCTTTTAAAAGACTTTGTTAAAATATGAATCATATTTTGTAATTGTTATAAATGCAACTAATTTTGAATGTTACTGATTACAGAACTAAATTTTAATATCCAAACATATATTCTTGAGTACAACTTTTCCTATCTTGATAATGTATTTCGTGTGATAAATGTTTTCTTTTTGTAAATTTATTTCAAAGAACATTGCAGGAGCTAAGCTGTGTTCTCTTCCTTCTGTCAGTTATTAGTTTTGCTTTTTTCCCTTTCAATAAATTATAGCATTATGAGCTTTCATAAATCTAGTGTTGTGTTTTATTCATGTCTTTTTCCAGGAGCTACTAAGCCACATAAAGAGAGTACCTTTATAAGAAAAGACCATGCCTTTAATCTGATTTCTTAGTGTGTAATACACCTTGTAGACACTTAGAGCTTTTCCCCTAAATGGCTATGTAGTCCTCTTTTTTTTTTTTAAAATATTAACATATACTAGTTGTATGAGAGGATTTTATTGTGACATTTCCATATAGGTACCTCAGTTAGATTTACTCCCTGTATCATTCTCCCTCTTCTCCCTTCCCCCACTTCTTAAAACAATTTCAACAGGTTTCATTGCTCTCTTTCCATGCAAGTGTTACAAGGTACATCAACCATATTCACCCTCTTTCACTCTCTATTCAATCTTGTATGCTCATGTGACCTTTGTCTTTCTGAACCTGATTTACTTTTCTTAACATGAAGTTCTTCAGTTCCATCCATTTACCTGCAAATGACATAATCTCATTCTTTGTGGCTGAATAATACTCCATTGTGTATATAGACCACATTTTTAAAATCCTTTCATCAGTTGTAGGGCACCTGGGCTGTTGGCTATTTTGAATAATCCAGCAATAAACATGGATGTGCAAATGGGTGTATCAGTATCCTGACTTACATACCTTTAATATTTGACTTGGGATTTAAAATGGCTCTGAGGGTAGTTTTTGAAGGTTTTTGAAAGGTAAGAAATTTCCTTAAGTGTTTATTTTGGAATATTCCTGTATACCTAACTAGTTTATTTTGTATAAACCAAGTTAAGTTAATTGGCATAGAGTTGTTTACCATATTTTCTTATTTTAATATCCGTAAGATTTTACCTTATTCATCGCTAATACTGGTTTTATAATAAAAGTTAGCTGGGTGACTCACACCTGTAATCCTAGCTACTCAGGAGGCAGAGATTAGGAAGATCAGGTTCAAAGCCAGCCTGGGCAAATAGTTCACGAGACCCTATCTTGAAAACCCCTTAACAAAAATAGGACTGGTGGAGTGACTCAAGGTGAAAGCCCTGAGTTCAAGCCTCAGTACTGCAAAACAAAACAAAAAACTGAAAACAGTTTAATTTAACAAAATTTGCTTGAGCAAAAATAGGGTTCTAGCCCAGCAGCATTCTAAACTAAAGATGGTTCCAAATGTCCCATGTACAGTTATACTTATTGCCAGAGAAAAGGAAGTAACATAGAAACAACTTGATTGGCGCTTAGCTTATGGATATTGTCTGGTCATCAAGGAACCTGTGATTGGCTGACGCAGTTAACTTGGTTATAAAGGTGTACTCTTAGGTTACAATTGTTCACACTTTAAGCTAGGGTTCAGTTCATTGTGTATGGAGGATATATTTGTCCATACTTATCTGTCAAGTACGGAGACGAGTTCAGGCCAGTTATTCTAGTTCAGCATTGGCATTTTGAGTCCTTTCTTCTTGCATGGATCAATATAACTGGATGTTAATAGATTTTTTTTTCTCTTTTTTGTGGAAGTAAACAGGTTTATTTAAGGCTGACCCTAAGGAAAATGAAGGATTGAGGAAGACCTCTCTGTCTCGACTCTCCATCTTTGAGGGCTCAGGGAATGCCAAGGGCTTTTTGGGACATAAGGGGCCTGGTCTGTCTCTTCAGGGCACCACCTCTTCCTCTTCTTAAAAGTCTCAATTGATTTGGATCTCAACCTCCTGGAGCTAGTATAAACAAGAGGAG